TATTTTTAAAGGATATACTTACTGGGTATAAGATTCATGGTTGACAGTGTTTTTCTTTCAATGCCTGAAAAATGTACAGCTTTCTCTGGCCTCCATGATTTCTGATGAGAAATCTGCTGACATTAAAATAGTATTTTTTCCGATGTTACTATTTTTTCTCTGGCTACTTATAAATTTTCTTCTTTGTCTTTAGTTTTCAGATGTTTAACTATGATATATCTTGCTATTTACTTTGGATGGTTTATCTTGTTTGGATTTTGCTCAGCTTCTTCAATCTGTAGATGTATGCATTTTGCCAACACCAAAAAGTTTCTATTTCTTCAAGTGTTCTTCAGCCTTACCATCTTTTTTCTTTCATTCCAAAACTCCAATTTCATGAATTTAAATTTTTTGTTATAGTACCAAAAGTCCCTAAGACTGGCATTTTGGGGGTGGGAGGTGGGGTCTATTTTCTCTTTGTTTCTTGTTTAGAGTGGATAATTTATATAGTTCTATCTTGATGTTTGCTGTTTCTTCCATTTTTAGCCTATCCATTGAGTTTTGAATTTCAATTATTTTATGTTTTAGTTCTAAAATTTCCATTTAGTTATTTTTCACATCTTCTATTTTTTCCTGAGACTTTCTGATTTTTTATTTGTTTGAAATGTGTTCTAATGGGTTGTTGAAACTTTAAAATCTTTGTTAGATAATTCTGATATCTTTGTCATCTTACTATTGGCATTCATCAAGCATCTTTTGTCCAACTACTTGGCTTGAATCTTCATAGTTCTTGATATAATTGACTTTCTACTGAAACCTGAACATTTTGGGTATTATATGATGAGACTCTGGATTTTATGCAAACCTTAAGTTTTAACTAGATTTCTCTAACACTGCTCCAGAAGAAGAATAGGGGTGCCACCTTATTACGCAGGCTTCTCACTCAGTTTTCATTGATAACAGAAGAGATTGGATTTAACTTTTCATTACTACTGAGTGGGGTGAGAGTTCCGGCTCTCCAGTAGACCTCTGCTGATAGCTCCCTGGCTGAGAGAAGTAAGAGTCCCACATAGCCTTCACCAGTGGTGGGGTGGAAGGGAAGTGAGAGTACTGACTCTCTACTAGGTCTCCTCAGTAGAAAGGGAGGGGGCACCTTGCTACTACACCTGGCCATCTGGTTACCACTAACACTTCCAAGGGAGGTGCTGAAAGTCTTGGCCCCTTACTTAGCCTTCTCTCTGACACCATCCAAGTGAGTGAGTTGAGGTGCTTCCATACAACCTAACAAAGTTGGAAGTTTAGGCTCCCACATGGCCTACTGCTGTGGGTGGGTGAGGGATGACATTTGTCTAGTGGGCTTGACTACAGTAGGTCATTTATTATCTAAAAGATTTGGGAGGCTGAGGTGAGTGGATTGCCTGAGCCAGCGGGTTCAAGACCCGCCTGGGCAGCGAGACCTCATCTCTACAATAAAAAAAAAAAAAAAATCAGCCGGGCATGGTAGCACATGCCTGTAATTCTGGCTACTCAGAAGGCTGAGTCGGAAGGATCGCCGGAGCCCAGCAGGTTGAGGCTGTGGTGGCCGGGAGCAGCCACTGCACTCCAATCTGGGTGACAGAGTGAGACTCCAACTCAAAAAAACCAAAAAACAAAAAAACAGATTTCTGTCTAGCTCAGCTGCCCCTTTCATTTTCTTTCAGCTAGAGAGAGAGTAGACTTTTGTTGTGTTTTCTTTTGACTGTCCTTGCTTTATCAAGTTTCTGGCTTCTTTAGATCCAAGTCTGGGATATATAAGGCAAAAAGAAAATGCATGAACTGTGTCATTCTTCAGATCTCAATGTCCCTGGATGGTCTGTCTTCTTCTCTTTGCCTTTTGTATCTTATGTTTGTTTACTTACAATGGCCAGTATTTTTAATTGTACTTAGTGGGAAGAATAGGAAAAAGTACATTTACCTCATTGTCCTGCATGCAGAAATCTCCAAATATAAAATTTATTTTATGATTCATTTTCATTATTTCTTTGGGATACATTCAAAGGACAATGGCTCACCCTCTAATAACCCTTTAATTACTAGAAATTATTCTTGTACAACCCAGGTGACTGTGTATGAATGATCCTTTTGAAAGTTGCCTAAAAGCATGTATATTTAAAAATGAGTAATTCAGAAAAAATTTCTAGAAATGAAGAATTCTTGGGAAGGTTAGGGTACATAAATAATTGTTCTTGAACATTATAATTTATGAATATTGAAGCTCCTCAAAATTATATTTATGTAAGAGGTAACATTTAAATTGTTGTAAGTCTTTTATACTGGCCAGTAGGAGCTATATTTTTTTAAAATTAAAATAAACAATAACACTCTCTCGTAACAAATCCAATCAATTCAAAATAGTTTAGAATAAGATAGTCCCCCTCCATCCAATTTCATTTCCTAGATGTAACCACTGTTAACAGTAAGACATGCATGTATCGGGTTTCTAGTCTATGTTTATACTCAGTCATGATCTGCTACCTCACTTACTCCTACTTTTCCTTTCCAGCTTCTCTTTGTATGTTTCCTTTGTGAATTTATCTTTCTCTGTCTTGCTGCTAAATGTTGAAATGCTTTCCAACTTGGTTCTAGAACTTTTTTCTTCTTAATCAATATTGTTTATTTTTGTGACTTATCTATGCTCTTATTTCAATTATCATTTACACTCAGATAACTCATAAATTCGTTTTTAGATTTTAGACTTCTGGTCTTAGTGTCAAACCAATAACTCCAATTTTACCTGACATCTCCTTTAGGCTATCTAAACAGGATTCCAAACCCAGCATACGCAAACCATACTGCTTATCTTTCCTTACAACTTCTTCCAGATTTTGCATCTCAGTGCATGGTATCACATATTGATTTACATTCACTAGAAGCTTAGGAGTCATTATTGGTTTGCTTTTACCTTCATTTTCTATTTCCAATTAATCAACAACTTCTGTAGCCTTTTCCTTCTGAATCTGCCAAATTCTTTCCATTTTTACTACTAGATACCATCATCAACTACCTGAGCTAATGTAGTAGTTTTCTAAGTGGACTCTCTGCTTCTATATCATTATTTTTAAAAATTTTTGTAACTTTATAACCAGAGTTCTTTTCAAAATAAAATCTTCTTAAAATGCTTTTGATTTTTAAAATTGTGCTTCTGGTAAATACCTAAATCCTTAATGCTACTTAAAACAGTACCTGTCTCAAATAAATATTTTTAGAAGAATAAATAAATGTGTATAGTTTATAGTATTTGCTATTAAAATAGTATTGCTATACACTTGTATCTCTCTATGTATCTTTCTGTACTCTTATTAATATTTCTGTTGGATATGTTTCTAGAAGCGAAATAGCTAGTATAGTTTGTTTTTTATCTATTAAACATGGAGGTTAAAAGAGATGTGCAGAAGTGTCTTGTAGCCATCAAGAGGAAAAAAATTCATTAAGAGAAAAAAGAAGAGACTGACCTAGGAAGATCACTAATGATTTATTAAGGAAGTCATCATGTACTGTATGTCTGATGGAAAGGAGTTATATCTCAAAAAATCATTCAATAACTTAATGAATTTTTTGATATTTTATACCAAGAAAATTTAGGTTAAATATGTTGTAAGTCAGAGTAAGGAAAAAAGAATAAATGAATAAAATTTTTATATCCATAACAAATGTGATTTATTTCTTAAGCCACTCAGACATTTATTTTGCTTATATGTTTTTCTTAAAGTGCATAATAACTAGATAATATAAACAAAGACGTGATTAAAAATGGAGTGATCAAATAAGAAGTTAATAAAATAATGTATGAATTATAATTTTTATAGAAATCAAGGTTCACTAGTATCTTAAATCATTCGGGCTACTTTAACAAAACACCATATGCTGCCTAGCTTATAAGTACCATAAACTTATTTCTCCCAGTTCTGGAGGCTGCAAAGTCCAAGATCAAGTCACCAGCAGATGTGGTGTCTGATGAGGACTCACTTTCTGGCTTATAGATTGCACCTACTGCTGTATCCTAACATGGTGGAAGGGAACAAAGGGTCTCACTCAGCCCTCTTTTATAAGGGCATTAATCTCATTTGTGAGGGCTTTATGCCATGACCTAATCATTCTCCTCCAAGCCCCATCTTCTAATATTATCAACCTTTGGGGTTAGAATTTCAACATATGTATTTTGGGGGGACACAAACTTTCAGACCATAGCAACTAGTGTAGTTGATACTGGGCGGAATTGTGAAATAGACAAATCTTGTTTCCAGAGATGTGTTCTTCTGTTCCTGCTTCCTTTGCACCATGGCTCTAGAAGGAAGCTGGTGTGTCCTTGTGCAAGTGTCATAGAAGAGAATGGCCTGAAGGTATCAGGTGCCCAAAAGGTGAGGGACTAGAGGAATCAGGTTGCTACTGGCTCTGCTCTGCTTGTTCTGTGACCTTGGGCAAGCTAGTAATCTCATGAGACTTAACTTACTTATTTGGAAATAATGGCTACTGTTTTACCTGTAAACTAGCTTGAGGTGACCTTTTTTATTATTTATTAATGCATTTAATTATATGTGTGTATTTATTGGTTGAGCTGATACTAAAACACTTTACTCCTGATTTTAGCCATAAATTTGTATACAAGAAAGATAATAGTGTATTATACAGGGACAGTAATAGCTTTAGAAACCTTCTTCAGGAGCTTCTGAGGCTGCAAAATGATTTACAATGGGCTCTTAGAGCACTGAGAGGTACCATGAAGTTCTGAAAGAGCTAATATGCCTTTGTAAAAATCCATGTACTCAAAAGGAGCAAAGAACCCTGTGATTTTCATAACTCTTTACAAATTTCTACTGTTCTCCTCCTCTCATTCTGGTCTATTTGTGTTTATACTGAAATGTGTAGATTAAGCAGCTTTATGTTTATTTTCTTCTTGCTATTAATTTTGCATCAGCCACTTTGAGGCTGTTTAAGCAAAACACTGACTTAATTGCTCTGTTTGTCATTTCTTCTTGTTCTAGGAAATGGGCCTCATCACGACCGCTGCTGTACTTATAATGAAAACAACCTGGTGGATGGTGTTTATTGTCTCCCAATAGGACACTGGATTGAGGCCACTGGGCACACCAACGAAATGAAGCACACAACAGACTTCTATTTTAATATTGCAGGCCACCAAGCCATGCATTATTCAAGGTAAAAATAGTACTATGTTTATAAGAATAGAAGTAGGACAAGAGGTGCATCAGGCCAATGGGAATATTTACTGTGCTGAGAACTGCAATGTGTCCCTTGAGAGGGGTCTGTAGAGCTGCAGTGCTTCGAGAAGATAAATTATGGTGAATCAGTGCATGAGCTTTTCTGGGTCTCCATGTAACGGATTCTTTTTTATAGAATTAAATAGATACACTGGCACCAACATATTTTGACCAGACGGTATTTAACCAATCTCTGTACTGATATAGTGGATTAAAAATAAAAAACTGTACTAAAATATCCTAGATCAGTATTTGTGTTCTTTATGCTACTAACAGTGAAACAAAAAGTGGTGTCTCCTTAAATCTCATTCAAATAAATATGTGTGAAAATCTAAATCTAAAACTAGATTGCATATGATTGCTTTATTATTTATTAATATTTTTCTTTATTTGCTTAATTAGTATATCAGTAATATATGTTATAATAAAAATTCAAACACTGAAGAAGATACTAAATGAAAAGTAAGGCTCATTACACTTTTCTCCATTCCCATACATTTGAAGTGATTATTTTTAACCACTTTATGGTTAATTTCTTGAAAGTTAAATCCAAATCTTTGTTTCTGTTTTTTTTTTTTTTTACTTGTTTATTTTTGAGTTGGGGTCTCACTCTGTCAGCCAGACTTGAGCGCAGTGGCATAATCATGGCTCACTGAATCCTTGACTTCCTGGGCTCAGGTGATTCTTCTGCCTCAACCTCACGAATAGCTGGGACTGCAGGTGTGCAACACTACACTGGGCTAATTTTTTGGATTTTTATTTTTGGTGGAGATGAAATCTTACTATGTTGCCTAGGCTGATCTCAGACTCATAGGTTCAAGTAATCCTCCTGCCTCAGCCCTCTAAAGTGCTGGGATGAACCACTGCGCCCAACCAAATCTTAAATAATATGCATTTACTTTAGTTGTTATTTATCACTATAAAAATAGCTGCTGATTTCCCTGTTACACATGAGAAATTTACCGCTTTTATACTTGTCCTCTTTCCTGACTCCATTCCTTACCAGATATATATATATATATATTTATTTATTTATGATAGAGATGAGGTCTTGCTGCCCAGGCAGGTCTGAACCCGTGGGCTCAGGCAATCCACTCACCTCAGCCTCCCAAAGTCGCGGGATTACAGGCTGAGCCACCGAGCCCGGCCCAGATATATTTTTTAAAGTTTCATTGTTATATCAGAAAAATTCTGTCTTGACTTACCAATTTTTGACCATGCTTCTTGATTTACTACTTTAATAGCAGGTATGTTTTTAACCCTATATTTTCTTCTATATCTGTTTCCAACTACTAACTTCTGTTTTTAAAAATGTTTTATAATTTCAAGGTTTATAGAATTTGTGTTTTTATGTAGATTGATTTCTATGTAAATTGCTTTGATGATTTAAAATTAAAAACCAATAATCTCTGACATTTAAACTATTATGTATTATTTACTATAGAACATACAATGTTTGTACCATAGGCAGGGAGATACATTCTCATGTTTTTAAAAAATATATTGTTTTGAATGAGAGATATAATTAATACAGAGTTGTAGGGTATAGGAGGGAGAGAAAAATGCAACTTGATAATAGAAAATATTTTCCTTGAATACACCTTTCTTTCAAATTTGTGTTAGATATTGACCTTGCTGGTAGATTGTATGCATAGCATGAGGAAGAAAGGAGTTAACCATGATTTGTGGTTTTATGGCCTTGGCCACTGAATTAATGGTGTTGCTGCCTACTGAGATCGGGAAGATTAGGAGATGAGTTATTTGGAGTAGAGATTGAGGCAAAATTTCTATTCTAGTCATATAATTTAAATGTCTGTTAGATTACAGAAAGAAAATAAATTTGATGTCAGAAGATTTGGGGAGAAGTTGGAAGTGAAGATATAAACTTAAAAGCTATCAATAGTTAGATGGCTTTCCAAGTGATGAGTCTAAATGAGATATTTAGCAAATGAGTGAAATATGGAAGAGACACAGAGATGAAGCAAAACTAGTGACCTCTGATTCACACAATTTAGAAGTCAAAACAAACAAACAAAAATTCCAAGAAAAGAATGAGAAGGAGCACTTGTTGAGATGGACTGACTTTAAATAAGGATGTGTTTGTGGGTTATTTTCATTTATCCTGAACCATATTTAATGAACTTTTAATCTAGAATTATGTCTTAGGCTCTAGAGATTTTCTTCTACTGTATATTTATTCCTTCCCCTTCATTGCCTTTGCTCTTTGCCATTGAAGTCACTCTTTAGATTGATGTTGGACCTGTTTGATTTATACTGTTTTCTTAGCTTTTATATTTTCATCTTTTAGCTTTGTTGCTCTATGTTTTGGAAGACCTCTTCATTGTTTTATCCAGTTCAGCTACTGATTCTTTTCTCTTCAGTTTGATAATTGTAGTCTTAATTTTCACGGATTCTTATTCTGTTATTCCCTTTTTTCATATTAGCTTGTTCTAGTTTATGGATGAATATATTCATAAATCTTTCTTAGAATACTAATGAGAATTATTTTAAAGTTCTCATCTTTTTCTGGAACTATCTTTTGTCTTCTTGAATCAACTGCTTTTTATTCATTTTGATATTTGTCTTGTGTTGTTAGTTTTTTAAATAACTGGTGTTCTTTAGTTCATATTTACTGTATGAAAGACTAGGTTGATTATTATATGTGGCTGGCTTGAGTTTCCTCTGCCAATACTGGCTTTTATACCTCTGAGAGTGTTGGCTGCAAGCTGTGTGTATGTTGGCAGGTCATGTCTTCCTCAGCAGACCTGAATCAGACAACCCACCTGTATACTCTTTCCACCCTACCCTGGATGAAAAGACAAGAAGGACCTGTGGTAGGGTGCACCTCTCACTCTGAGAGTCTCTGCTCCCCAAATAGATGTTTTAATTTTTAAATAAGGTAACTCTCAGCTTCACATACAATATCAAAGCTGTATGTGAAGGAGAAAATGAATCTTAGTTCATGTATTCAGCTATGTAAGAAAGGTTGCATTTGTTTATTTTCTTTAAAGCAACTTAGTTTTACATCCAAATCTCTATCCTGCTGAATTCTCGGGTAATCCAAACCCATTATTTTTCACTTCAGGTGTAAATATATATGCTGATTATATTAATAAATTAAAGATGTATGCATACTATATAATATTATATATCATATAGATAATAAATATATATGTATTTATACCAGGGTGTAATATATATGTAAAATGCATAGACAAACATATATACCTATATATGTACATCCATAGATGCATATATACACACATCAAGTCCTGGGAATCTTTTTTTTTTTTTAACATCTATGAGATTTTTACATGTGTCTATGGCCATACCACCCTGAATGCACCTGATCTTGTCTGATCTTGGAAGCTAATCAGGGTTGGGCCTGGGTTAGTAGTTGGATGAGAGATTTTTATATGCATATGTAATAACAAAGGTCTTCAAACTCACCTTGGAATTTATTGTCACAAACGACCACCTTTCAGTTTGAATATGGAAAGGGAATTATGTCCGGAATCTATTTATGATTGGGATAAATCATATCAGAATTGAATTGTCAGTATCCTTCATAATGACAAGACTTTTAAGAATACAAATATCTAACAACAGAATAGGGTAAATGCTACATTCATCCATTCAGCAAGTATTGTGTGGATCACTCTGTGTTGAGTGTCTCCCTGTGTTGAGTGCCAGATGATCAACCACGGAGAGACAATGGTCCTTGTTCTCATGGAACTCTTGTTCTAGTGGAACACAAACACATACACAATAGCAATATAAACAAACAGTTGCTGTAATGAAGTTGTATGTGCAGTGTAATGAGGGACAGAAATCTTTAGCTCAAGGAAATCTTTATAATGAAGTAGAACTTGGAACAGAAATGTGAAAGATATTTTCCAGGAAGGCATTTGGGAAAGGGAAGTCATGGTAAGGAGAATAGCAAGTTTGAATACAGAGAGGTGTGAGAGCAACATTAGGGTGGCCAAATAATGTTGTCCATTCAGTATACTTTTGAGAGTAAGAAAAAGTACTTTAAATAATTATCTTGTACTACAGGCATAAAGCAGGCATGTCGCAATGTAGAGAACATGTCAGGTAGAATAAAACATTGTGGTACCCCTCGATATTCAGATTTGGAGATAGGCTGGTATGAAAGACTTTAGAGATCTGTTGATAGAAGTTAGCACCATGTGGTATGATTAGGGGGTTTTATGTGGTACATTTTAGTTTTGGGTTTTAGCCAAGGTATACACACACATGTTTAAAGAATTTAGTAGAGCTACACGTTTTATTATGAAAAAAAGAAATTAGTCCCTCTCTCTTTCTCCCCTCTTCCAATTTGGCCTTTCTTCAGACAAACACTATAATCTCTTTAAGCTGATTACTTGATACTTGCCTTCAGGTAAATGATAAATAATCTGATTATATTGCTTCACTTTGGTTTTAGGATTAGGTACTATCTGTTGATTTTGTAGCATGAAATATGATCTAACTCTCTTTTCTTCTCCTTTTCCCACGTCCATCCTATTGTTTGAGCTTCCCAATATAATTATACCATAATTTTTATGAGCTCAATATACAGATCCACACGTATATTCATATGCCTATGTAAATGCTATTTAATACCTTGGACCATTCACAGATATCTAAATCTCCTTTGAAGAACTTAATAGTTTTCAGGATTGCTATTGAGAAGTCAAAGCCATTATGGCTCCTGATCTTTATGTTTGAATGTTTTTGTTTTTACCTCAGTAAAATAAAAGCTCAAAGACTATTTTCTTTCCAATATTGTGAAATTTCATGATGATATTTCTTGGCAAGGAGCTATGTTACTCATTTTGTTGAGCTCTCAATGCAGAAGACTTTTAATTCTGCAAACTCAAGTACTCATTTGAAAGTAAATTTTCTTGAATTATTTATTTGATGATTTCTTCCCTT